ACTTCTCCATGTAATGCAAGACCACATTGGTGTCAATGTCATCAGCCAGCCGTGGTGGACACTGCTGTCGAGAATAAAGCAAATGCAGAACAATATATTTCTAGAGAACACTGCTGTGGAAGACACTCATTCACATATGGCAAAGCATTGGAAACTAGCTTTTATCCGGTAGAGTATTAACCGGGTCACCCAACCAGTTTACAATTTTAGCAAACAAATGAAGGTCAAAGTTTTGAATATAATTGTTCCCCTTCTCGGTGAGTTACTAAACTGTGTTCAACTTAATGAATAAAGCTATAGGTTACTACTCCAAATGTTGTTTAGATAGGAGAAAAAGAGTGAGAGAAAACCTCAGATGCTCTTAATGAGGCAAAAAGTGATCTAACATACTCTCACAAAATCTGGAGTACTCTTATTTATTCTTATACTCTCAAGGGTAGTGGTTAATGTCGAAAATGCCCATGACCGATTTAATGAATTGTTTAATGAATAATTCGAAATTATCTCTCTCCAATTCCCCCAATTTTCATCAAGCCGTCGTCGAGGAGTTCTTCTTCTGGAGTATTAGTCGAGTCCAGTCTTCTCAGAACATTCTCTTTTTCTTCCTTGCATGTTATTGCCATCTCGTCGCTTTTGATTCCGTGTAACAGGGTATGTATCTCAAATCGTCACAGGGATTTCGATTAGATAGAAGACTTCGTATTTGTGTATGAACTAATCAAGAAGATCGGAAAGTTTGAATGGTCTACTTATTAAGGAATTCGATAATCAACAACTATATAATTGAATGTCGGGAATCAAAGCTGTTTAAAATACTTGAGTTATTGTAACTAGAAATTTCTTATTCACTAATCGAAGATCAGAAATGAATGAAAGTGTGGATGGTCTGTTTATTACTCAATTGGATAATCAACAAATAATCAACAATTGTATGATTAAATGTCAGGAATGAAAAGACGATTCAATCAAAGAAGATTAGACGTTGGCCGATTACTAATTGACTACTGACACAACTGTGTAACATGGTGTAACGAAGTATAACTTTGATGGTATAACTGTATAACCAAGTATAACTTTTGGGGTTTAATTTTTTTTTTATTGCAGACAATGAGTCTTTTTTCGATGAACATACACTTTGATTATGATGGACATTATTCGAAGGATGGAGATGATTATGAATGGATTCCAACCGATGGTCGTTTGTATGCTATATCCTTTAAGACATCATCGTTGGGGGAGATCACTTATTCGATGTTGAAGGAGAAGATATGCAAGAAGATGGGAATAGATCTGTTTATGAAGAGGCTCAATTTGGGTTACATCCCATTGGTAGTGGAACCTAAGAGGCAATCATATATTTTGGATGATGAAGATGTGTTTGTTTATTTAACATCAGTGGATAAAGAGCAAAGAAGAAGTATTTTGCATGTGGAGGACATCGAAGAATTGCAAATAGACTAAATAACCGAGCAACTATCAAGAGTCGTAGAGAACTCCTGTAGTAGGAGCTATTGTGAGCGTGGGAGTGGATATGGAGAAGAAGAGAATGTGGGCACTGGTTTGGAACACGATAGACATCCCCACAAGAAACAAAAGAAGGGTAGGTTGTAAGCCTTTCGGTTGCAGTTTTGTTTTGGTGTTTTTATCTTATGGGAACGTTGTGAGGGAATCAATTTGTATTTGTGTGTTGTATAACTAAGTGAAACTTGGTTTCTTTACTGGTATAACTACAATGGAAAAACTGAGTAATAAATCACTGAAGTACTAAGATGGTTATTTATTGTTTATGTTATGTTAATTATGGTTAATCTGAATTATTAAAATTCCATCTTATTGTTTGGTCATATAGGTAAGCCCATGTACAATGGTGTACCTCTAAAAAGAATCCTTATCATTATTTAAGTAGTTTTTTTTTGAATAGTTAAGGATTCTAATTTAAATTTTTAGTCCAATGGTGTTATCCAATTAGGAGTCCTTAAGAATAAAAAAAAAAAATATATATAAGAGTTGATTAAGAGTGATGAGTTGATCATCCATTACAAGTCCACTAGAAGCAGATTATACAATAAGACAATAGCAAGACAAACATGCATCATTTAGGAAGAGACGAGGAAGTTGTGGCACCATTCTTGCTGCTCAAGTAGTTGGTTAGTAAGTCAGTACACTCTTTCCTTTCCGGACATACACACAGCAATGGAGAAGTTTCCTCATCTCCAACCACATTGAAGACAAATAAGTCTCCTACGGTGCTTCTGTTATCAACACAAAACCTTCTCCAGCCTCTTCCGATGTAAAACATGCCGCCTGCTTCGTTAAATCGCAAACTAACTGACCATGACTTCCCCTCTTTTTTCACCAATTTTGCTTCTTGGCATCGATTTTTCAGAGCAGTACACCGCGTAGCCTCCACAGGAAGATACTGCAAACAAAGAAGGTAAAGACACATAACATATCACAAGTGTATCTTCACGAAGATTTTAAATTCAGACACATAAAGTAAACTACTCACAAGTTTGTCTTCAGAGAGATTTGACGGAGTGACCTCAGCAACAAAACAATAGTCAAATGAGAAAAAGGGAGCACCATCCGCAGCATCATCCCCTTGAGGAGGTGTATACTGAATCTCAGTAAAACTAGGACCGAAAGGAGTCACATGAAAGACCATGTCTCCTTCCTTTTTGAACACGACAATGTCACCAATACGAAGGGAGTGTGCTTTGGCGAAGGCTTTCCAACCATCGGTGAGTCTTCTTCATTCTTGTATAACTTCCCAAGTTTTGTGTGAAGCGTCCGATCGTAATGTCCATTTTCCTTGGTTCTGTTTGCCTTCTATGTGTTTTGAGTAGAAGGCAAGTGGTATTCCCTACATGTAAACAAAGGAGAAGTTAAGCAAAGGACATAAACATAGGAGAAATAGAGAGCGTGTGTATACCACACCACAGTAGAAACCAGGAAGCAGAGGTTTCAAGAAGTGAGGTTCATGCTGATTCGCCATCTGCAAACAAGAAACGAAATGGAAACAATCATACATGTTCGGTTTTACTATCCCCAATCGATTGAAACCCAAATTGAAATGGAAAAAAATCTTACATGTTCGGTTTTACTATCCCCCAGTCGATTGAAACAACAAATCGATTGAAATCCCCAATTTTTGAAACCCTAATTTGAAACTAAAATTTCCCGAAATCGTTGAAAACACAAAATCAAACGGTAAAACTAAAGGAAAACAACACCCAAATCGAAATGGAAACAATCTGACATGTTCGATTTGTTGTTTTAATCGCCTCAAATCGCCTTCTCTCGAGAGCTCTCTCTTTTTTTTCTCCTTCGTGCGAAAATGATTTTTTTTCCCTAACCCAAACACGAAAACCGAGTGAAACTTGTTGTTTTCGTTACCGTTTTGATTGGTCTAACAATATGTATTTGTCTATTGTATAACTAAGTTAAACTTGTTGTTTTCGTTACTGGTATAACTATTATGGGAAAACTGAGTAATACGTTTGTAAACTCTCAACTTGTTAATTTAATAAGTCACTGAAATAATGATATGGCTATTTATTATTAATGTTATGTTAATTATGATTTGATTAAAATTACATCTAATTGCTTGGTCATATAGGAAATACACTGTGTTATTGTAGCCTTTTGGCAAAAACTGACCTCGTTACATTTGAAAACTTAGTATGGCACAAAATCAAGTTTATGTGTATATGATCGTATGAGAAATGAATCTAGGAAACATAATTTAATTGGTGTAACCAAAAAATCAGTGATTCAAGTAGAGTATAACCAAGATAAATGGAAATAATCAAAAAGTGCAACTTTGATGTTTTTCGTAAAACTGAAAACTTGGTGAAACTTACTGCGAAATTCGCTGGGATAAATTTTCTCGCCCAGCTTTTTGAATTTCGAATTTCCTTCTTCCCAATTTTCTAAAACCACAAAATCGTTTAATCGAAGTATTAAAGACATTTTTTTGGGTTTTCCTCCATTTGTTATCTTCCATTTTCTCTCTCTCAAATCATTCTCTCTCTCTCTCTCTCATTCCTCTCCTCGAACTCACAGAGAAATCGAGATGTCCACCGCTTCATCTTCCACGAACGGTGGTCGGACACGAGTACGAACTCCGGGAATACCTATTAAGTGCTGGTGCGGGGTGGGAATCACCGAGCTCATCTCGAAAAGCAAACCAAACCCATTTTGCCGGTATTATCGATGTCTCTATGCGGCTTCACTAAGGGTATTATCTGTTTACCTTTTACTTACTCTCGAAAGCTTAAGAATTACGCTTACTCGTGTTGATTATATCCATGTCGTAGCTTGAGAACGATAATCACATTTTCAAATGGGTTGATGAAGCTTTCACCGATGAGATACAATAGTTGGATTGCCAAGTTCGAATGCTCGAAGAAGAAGTTAAACTTCTCAAAGCAACAATAAGGAGTGAAGGTCCGATGACAAGTTCCAAGATATCTGGAGGTTGTGTTCTTCTTATAGTCGTTTTAGTTCTAGGAATTATGATGTACAATAAGTGATTCCTGGAAAACTTTTCTGTCAACATTAAGTGAAACTATAAAGTTTGTCTTAAGTTTAGAAAGTTGAACAATTGAACTTTTTCTTAAGTTTGTCTTAACTATAAAGTTGGAAAAATAGAGAGATCGAAAATATAATATTAACACATAGTTTTATCGACATTTAAACAAAGTTGAATCCGACATTAAACATTTACACGAGACCTTCAACCCTATATTTCTGAACATAAGGGTCGCTGTTTAGTAGAGACTGCCTGAATTTCTCAACCTCCGGCAAACGCGGATTGAACCTGAAGTCCACAAATCCACCTTCGGTCTCAAGCCATATTTTAGGACGACCAAAATAACATGTATAAGTCATTTTAGTAAAAGTTCTACTCAATTATCACATTTAAAACTAGTCACAGAAACAAGACTTACGGATAAATTTTCCAGACTCTCCACATCTTAAGGGCCACAATCACCTGTCTACGACCCCCCACCACTCATGTAATCAAGACCATCCCGGAAGGCATATGCCCGATTGCCGGTCACCACACATTTTATCTGATGGTCACTATTCAGAATAAAGAAAAAGTGGGTCACTTACAATATATATATATATATATATATATATTTTTTTTTTGCTTGGATCATATGTTACTTTATACTCACATGTTGTCCCTTATGTAAAACTCCATCCTTGGTCCTGAAGGGGCATCGAGATAGGTTTCCATGTTGAAGACCACTCCCATTGTATCTACCATATAAGTGTTACTCAACTAAATCAGTTAGTTTCACTTATATCTACAGAGTTATACAAAGTTCTGAAACCAAGATATGCGACTGTTGAGGGATTACTCAACTAAATCAGTTAGTTTCACTTAGTTTCACTTACATCTACAAAGTTATACAAAGTTCTGAAACCAAGATATGTGACTGTTGAGGGATTACTCAACTAAATCAGTTCGTTTCACTTAGTTTCACTTACATCTACATAGTTATACAAAGTTCTGAAACCAAGATAACCAACATACCTATGGGATATTTGAGGTCACGCCAGTGCATGCGAGGGATTTCATGGATGCTTTTGAAGTCCAAGAAAACACGACTGTTCAAAGGTTCGATGATGCGGACTTGCGTACAACGCGTAGCATTTAGTCTGAACGGAGACCTAGTTGGCTGGAAACCTGGGTAGGTTCGTTCAACTTCTACCACAAAGATTTCCACCCATCTTCCCTCTTCCTTCTCAAGGCCTCTAAAATTTGGATAATCCCCACCAGTGGTCATCTCCATCTTGTATCCCTACATAAATAAAGTACAAAGATCATGTTTATTACATGTTACAAGGATCAAGTTTTTATTTCTCACGGTTACATGTTTATTACACACTTGAGAGATGATGATATAACACTTACATCTTCATCTGCGAGGATATACTTATAGTAAGTCCCAAGGTTGGTAATCGCGTAAGGGTAGATCTTGTGTAGTTGCACTCTGAAACGCCAAGCCCTGATCATGGGGTTAAAAGTAACCTGGGAAAGCTTATTGTACTCTGCCATCTTCTTTGTTGAGAGATGAGAGAAGAGAAGAGAGAGGAGATTAGAGAAGAGATGAGAGAGGAGATTTCGTAACGGTGAGTGTTTAAATGCAGAATTCTTATAAATGCAAGAGATGGAGAATTCCAAGAGATGTGGCGTATAAAAGAGATTTTTTCACAAGAGAAGTCGTGTTCTTTCGACGAGGCTTTTTCTCAAAATTAATATTATCCTTTTCATTTATTATCTCCTACACTACTAGTTTCTATCATTAAATATATGAACTCTAAATATATTCACTAACTATTATCCATTTTGGAAACTGACCATCTTTTGAAAAATAAAACGATATAATATCAAAAATTTCGTTAAGTTTAGTATAGTTTCAAATTTTCATACAATCTAAATTGTTACGTTTTTCTTAGTTTCATAAATCTAGCCCGTGATCTCCCCGAGTTTCACTTACGTTTACACTTATGTTTACATATTTATATATCTTAAATTTGCAGTCAGAAAGCGTGTGAGATAAGTTGGAGTGGTTATGTTTCTCGGGGTTCGAAGTGGAGTTTAAATGCAATGGTTATGATGATCTACTACTTAATGACGGTGTAGTGTTGTGGCGTTTAAATGCAAGTGTAATGATTATAAGAGAGACTTCGAAACTAGACATTTTCATGAGAGAAGTAGTGTTCTTTCGAGTAGTTCATCAAATCACCCCACTCCATAATTACAGGTTTTTATTTGACCTTAATTTTCATTTAATATATCCTATATTTACAGGTTTTTCTTTAACCTTAATATTACCATTTTCATTCAATTACTTTCACTTACTTATATAGTTATATATCTTAGTTTCACTTACTTTATATATAGTTATATATCTTATACAAAGTTACAGTTCCAAGAGATGCGAGTGTAGATATTCAGAAGGCGTGTGAGAGAAGTCGTGTCTGGGAGAAGTCGTGTCTTCTCGAGGAGTCCATCAAATCACACTTAAATAGACACAGTGGTTCATTAATTTTTAAGGGTTTATCACTTCTACAAACTTGTGATTTCTCATTTCTCTCACCATTAACCGTTTTCTTTTATCAGAGTTAGACAGAATTCTCAGTTATACACTCGAGTTAGACATGGACAACATGAACTTGACTTCTCTCCCTCCTTCAATGCTTCATAAGATTATCTCTAAAGTATTGCAAGGATTGCTTTTCCGGGACTTTGGTTGTGCAAGGATTGCTTTTCCGGGGTTCAATGAAGTTAGAAGAGATGATCACTTCTATAGATCGGCTGATCTCATTTTCTTCAATGACTGGGCAAACGAGGTCAATGCTATTCGAGATTTCAAAGTTAAATGCTACCGTTTGGGTAATCCTGAGGCAATCTATCTGTGAGGTATGTACGAGTACTTCTTCCTCCATTTACTTGATGAAGGAAGGGAAAAAATACATCGTGCTGCTGAGAGAGGGTGCGTGTTGGCACAATTTGTAGATGCTATGATGAACTTAGCATTTAGCGTTGATGGTAGAGGAATTGTTCACAACTACCCTGCTTTTACTCGTCAACATGTTGACGAGATGTTTCAAATCATCACTGGTTGGAAAATCGGACACAACTGGGATTACGAAAAACCTCCCACGTTTATATCTGTGGCTGAAAGGATAGATCCTAATGTGCCACATTCTTGCTGTCACATTCTTGCTGGTGCTCCAACCTAGACCCTCCTATGTTTGTAGTCTCCCTAGATGGATCAAGATTGCGGTGGAAATGCGATCATTGTTTCTGGAATTATGCAGCTTGGGAGTTCTGCTATGCCATACACTTGACTGCTCGTGCCTGGCTCATTGAAGATTAGTTGAGTGTTTATGACATAGAAGTTTTATCTAGTTTTACTAAGTTGTTATGTAAATTACTCTTCCCAATATGCTCTGTTATTTCTCTAGTTTTATCTATAAACATTATGTAATTCCTCTCGATTTCTTCTTCAAACAAATCTTTTTTATTTGAACTTTAATAAATATATCAATAACAACACATGTGGCCGAACAAATAACGTAATAATAAATTGCAATTTAAATGTGGAGTACTCCTAAATGTGCGATTTAATTCAATTTAGCATAACTTTGTAACTGAGACAGTATTTATTTGTTCAGGTTTTATTACGCTACACAGTTACACCAAAGTTTACGATTACACTAAGTCTTACAAAGGTTTCAGAAGTTATGGAGAAATAGATCCTAATTTTATGGATCGGGTCTGGATGGTCCGCGAAATTGCCCTGGTTGGGTTGTAATTATGTAAGCTTTTGTTGGATTCATGGTTTTTTGATAAATTTTTGAATTTAAATAAAGATATATTAAATTTCAAATCCAGGCAATTTCGGGGAGGAGCATCTCAGATCATTTTTTTCGGGCAGGAATACCTGAGCTTTTAATTCAAAAAGAGTTTCAAGTTACTGACATATTAACATCTCCAAAGTGATTTTTGAATTGATTCGGAACAATCATCATAATAGAGCAGATTTAGCTATCAATCATCGAAAATTGCAAACGATACGATGTCTGGTCGGTTTCTAACATGATTGTATATCAAAACGGGCCCCACTCACGCGCCGCTTCTTTACTTATGACTCTCCCTTTTCATCTCTTAAGCAAAAATCATCAAAGTTTCTCTTTTTTTTTTTTTTTTAAAGAAAGCTCTCTCTGCGCTTACGCCGGCATATTTTCCGTTCATCTCTTCTCCGTCGCTCAGATCCGTCAAGTGAATCTCCTCCCCTTTTCGCCATTTGATACCCTACTTTCACACTTATTCTGTCTCCTCTGTTTCTTTTTCACTGTTTCCTCCCAGATCTGAACCTATTTTACTTGCTGATTCGAAAATCAATTTTTTTTGGGTTTTGTTTTGATGCACTTTCTTTTAAGAAGAAGACACAAAAATGATAACTTTGTTTTCACATTTGCATATTGTTAATGCGTTGCGTGATTTAATTCTCGACTCATGTTTAGGGATTGGAGGGTGCACACAAAGCTGTTTTTGGATGTGTAAATGAGCATTCTTCACAGATGTTATTTGCAGCAGAAGGTGGAGGCTTCTTCTCTTCATCAGCTTCTGGCTATACCAACGGTTTAGCCCTTCTTCAACTTGGCCACAAGGATGAACCAAAACCTGTAAGAGTATCCCCATGGAGACATTATCATTTGGTAGTCGAAGAAACTGATACCAAGTTTCAGTTAGATTCTTCTAAGAAATGGCTCTCTCGTGCCTGCAATTCCCTTACATGCTTTGGTCGCAAGTCTGAAAGAGTGGAATCTTCTTCTCATCCACAAGATTTCCCTTCTGACAAGAAGGATGATGCACCACAGGGCGTGGGCTATGAATGTGAAGTTGTTAGTAATAGGTTTGCACTTAAGAGCAGCCTCAAAAAAAGATCATTTAGCGATGCTGTCCTTGCTGATGAAGATGGTGATGATGTGAGTAGAGATAATTGTGTGTTGAATCATGCTGACACAAGGAAAGTTCAGTGGCCTGACACTTGTGGTATTGAGATTGCTGAGGTCATAGAATTTGAGCCTAGGTATGGATTTGCTTTAGATTCGTCTGTATGTGTGGGTAATAGATAGTCGATATATGGAATATGTATAACCAATATTTCATATATGTCTAGGCATCTCATAGGGGAAAAACTTAACTGTTAATTCTCTCACTGCTTAAGATAGGTTGGGAACTTCGCTCATTATGATCTTATTGCACTCGCCCATGTAAAACTAAAGAGCATAGTTTAAGATTTGACAGTAATAACACTCTGGATCATGAATGAGCAGCAGTTTAAAATAATAAAAGTGTTTCATTTATTTATTCGTGAATCCCTTTGGTAGGCACGATGGTTTGTTTTGTATTTTTTTTTTTTTATTATAGAAATTGTGTTGCAGTTGCAACCATTCACGTTTTTGTCATTCTTTTCTACTTGTCATACATACCAAGTAACAACGTTGCTTCTCTTAAGATTCTATTTTGGTGAACAATTTTTTGCTCGGAATGAATATGCAGTGAAGTGGATGAATTGGATGATGAGTTGCATCATGGAAATAGAAAAAGCTGTATGTGCACAATCATGTGACCAGCTTCGATCAAGAAGAAGCTAAAGGCGTGTTTTCAGACACAAAGGGATTTCATTCGCGCAGCGAATACTGTTGAGGTAGATGCACTCTTTTGTCCGGCCAAGTTCTTGTGCTCTCTTTTCTTGTGCACCTTTTGTTTTGAGCGAGAAAGAGAGGCGTATAGTTTTGGATAAGAAAAGGAACTTTTTGGATGTGTACCTTTTGTAGCCACTTGATTTGTCAAATTTGTGCTGTGTGATAGATTATCCAGTCTCTATGTGACCTTGTCCTGTAATGATAAATCCACACCACCACTTTTGGAGTTGAAAATTCAACAAAAAGATTAGTGTTGTTAATTCTTCAGTTTCCAAGTTTAGTTACTAGTATGATGTAATCCAGTCATAACCACTTTGATAGCCTAGTTACGTTCTCGCGCGTGGGATTATTCCCAAAGGTACCGTTAACCAAAAGCCGTGTATGCAAGTGCTGAGACTTGGCCATATCTCATCCACGCAGAGATGACGAATGACACTAAACACAACAGCTTTGATCATTAGACAATTCAACTAAGAAAACCATTAACGAAAGATGTCAGAGGCTTCACCTGTTCAATGTACCACGATCCTTAATCCTTCTTCTTTTTCTTCTTGGTCGTATCTCGGATTCTCTACGAGTAAGCGATGTGTCCTAATCATCAGATGTTCTCAGACTGAAAATCCATTGAGAAGGCCATCTGCTCCTCCTACTCTCCGGGAGGCGTCACCTCCCCAAAATCCTGTTCCTCCTACGCCTTCTTCTTCTGCTTCACCTCCGCCGCTGCAGAAAGCAGTTGCTGTTGATGGTAAGAGTGTAGTTACGGCGAGTTTTAGAGACAGAAGGCCAAAGAGCTTCAGGAATACTTTAAAGCTTGAAGCTGCTGGTGAAGGTCCCTTCTTTGGTTTCCAACCCAAAAACGAAATCTCCAATTGAAGGTACCTTCCTTTCTACTTATGATCTCAGTTCGAGGTTTTTGTTTTGTGGGTTGGTCCTATTTATTTTGTGAGTTTGCTAGTAACTCAAATAGATTAGAAGTAGATATGTAGGGGGATAAGTTTGATCATACTGCCTCTTTCTAGTGTTCTTCATCAGCTTAAATGCATCCTGAGCTCTATCATCATTAGTTTGCAAAGGATGTTCTTGCATATCAATCCCTGATCTTAATTGCATTTGGGGGATAGCTCTTGTTCTTAATACAAATTGACGTTTCTTTATTTGCAGCACAATCTTCAAATTCAGACATACAGATCTAAACTTTTCAAGTTTTGAGTTTGTGTCATTTGCGAGTCTGCTACTTTCTAACAATTACATGACTTTTCAATGTACCATGTCCTTACTATTGACCGCACACCAAAACTGTGGTGGGTTCAAGAATTAGTTTAGCAATTCCTGGACATGAGATGTCTCTGTGTGTATTTTGTTTACAGGTGGGCTATGTTTGGTTTCGAGGTCGGGGTGCTTACAGAATATGCAACAGGCTCCGGCCTTGTTGACCAAGTTAAAATCCTTCTCTCCAACTTCGGTATTATAGACTTGGAATAGTAAAGAGTGTTCTTCTTAGAGTATTTACACCCTCTATACACACAAAACCCTTAAATTAGGGATATACCCAAACCCCTAAATTAGGAATATACCCTATTTCCCTATGTCTCTCTCTTCTCCACATACCACTTTTTTCCCTAATTCTTAAGTATCTCTCTTTTATGGTATTGAGCCAGTTCACCATTCTTCTTATACATAAGACCCCTTTCTTGTCTCTGATTCCTATGTTCAATCTTCATCCTTTTGTCCATTCCTCCTCTTGTATATGTACGTACCTCTAGATATCTTACACACATGGCCATTTCTGTATTTAACCACTTTTTGTAGGACCCCGAAAATCTTGATTTAAAATCAGGAAACAAAAATCGATATAATGATAAGATGAGACAGATAAAAAGTTTAAGAAATCGTTAAAGAAAATCGTTAAGGAAATAGACGAATTCATGGAAATCAGATTTGATCTTTTTCCTTAAACCACCCGTGAGATGGTTTCTATGCGATTTTTTAATCCTAGGATACAATTAGGAGAGACTGTTTGGCTGCATCCGAAACAGAATCTGCGAACTATAACTATTACTAATACTCTCGAGACTCACCTAAAGAGAAGATTCAGGGTTTTTAGTAGCACTACTTTCTATTGCTTTAAAGCGTGTAAAATAATGAAGACGGTAGGCACCTATTTATATGGGAAGGATACTTGATCGACAAGCCAAGGATAACGATAAGGAAAGATTATTCCTAGAACATTCTGGAAATATTCTTGGAATTATTCATGTTTATCGCGTAAAAGAAGATCGGAAATATTCCAATAATTATCTGGAAGAGTTCCTAAATTTATTTTAACACAATTTAAAATGTTTAGATTTATCAGGGTTGTCTATTCTTGGAATTATTCATGTTTATCGTGTAAGAGAAGATCAGAAATATTCCAATAATTATCTGGAAGAGTTCCTGAATTTATTTCAACACAATCTAAAATGTTTAGATTAATCAAGATTAATTAGACACAATCCGTTAGGATTTCTCTAGGAAATTATGCAAAAAAAAATTGGTATTAATTTACTCTAAAAAGAAATCTTATTGTGGGCTTGAAGCCCACATTCACCAAGCCCACATATACCACGACACAAACCCAAGCACGGTCCAATGGCAGCGCGCGAGCTATTGAACCTTGATAAGGGAGTGATATATTTATACTACAAGATTTATATTGTCATAATTAAGATAAGACGTTTCACTCTTTCATTTCATTTAAGTAAAATGCTTTTAAATTTAAAGTCCAAAATACATTTGATCCACATTTTGTTGGGGTCAAAATCGGTACGACGGAATCAACGGCCAAAACTCCCCGCAGAAACATAAAAGGAACAGTTTTGTAAAACCCGAAGAATCGTTTTATAAAACTCGAGGATCGTTTTATAAAACTTGAGGACCGTTTTATAAAACTCGAGAATCGTTTTATAAAACTCGAGGATCGTTTTATAAAACTCGAGAAGCCGTTTTATAAAACTCGAGAAGCTGTTTTATAAAACTCGAAGATCGTTTTATAAAACTCGAGAAGCCGTTTTATAAAACTCGAAGATCGTTTTATAAAACTCGAGGATCGTTTTATAAAACTCGAGAAGCCGTTTTATAAAACTCGAGAAGCTGTTTTATAAAACTCGAAGATCGTTTTATAAAACTCGAGAAGCCGTTTTATAAAACTCGAAGAATCATTTTATAAAACTCGAGAATCGTTTTATAAAACTTGAAGAATCGATTTATAAAACTCGAGAATCATTTTATAAAACTCGAAGAATCGTTTTACGAAACCGCAAAAAACNAGCCGTTTTATAAAACTCGAGAAGCTGTTTTATAAAACTCGAAGATCGTTTTATAAAACTCGAGAAGCCGTTTTATAAAACTCGAAGAATCATTTTATAAAACTCGAGAATCGTTTTATAAAACTTGAAGAATCGATTTATAAAACTCGAGAATCATTTTATAAAACTCGAAGAATCGTTTTACGAAACCGCAAAAAACTGAAACAGCCGTAAAACGCGAACTAGTCACGACTAGTTCGCCCACAGGCGAACTAAGCCGAGCCGGCTTAGTTCGCTGATGGGCAAACTAGAAGGCACTCGACTAGTTCGCCCATCGGCCAACTAAGCCGGGCCGGCTTAGTTCGCCGATGGGCGAACTAGGAGGCACTTGACTAGTTCGCCCATCGGCGAACTAGTCCCGTCCCGATTAGATCGCCATTGGGCGAACTAAGATGTGCTGACTTTGCCCCACTGGTTCTTTTCGCCTAGTTCGCCATATGGCGACCTAGCCAAGTTGAAGTAGCTCGCCGTACGTCGAGCCAACCATCCCGAGCCTCGATCTCCCACATCCTTGATTCAAGGCATACGTCCTTCGACACGATTATATTCCGAATTATGGTCGAAATGTCTCCCGTTTCGTCTCGATCCGTCCTATCGTTCGAGTTTTACGATAAAAACCGTAAAACTCCGTTTTCCCGAAAAGAACTCGAAGAAATCGTATAAAACGGTAACGGTTAATCGAAACACTGAACATCACCTAAACTATATGATTTATCCGAGATTCTTCGTTAAGATTATAAAAACGCGTTTTTAATAAAAAACGTCGAGAGAATCGTAAAAACGGCATCGGATCAGGACACGGTCTCGTTAAAGTCGTAAAACGGTTTTTATCGTAAAACGGCCCGAAAGGTCCTAAAACACGATAAAAGCCCATCTCGCGACGTTAACGAAATCAAACCCGAAGATACGATAACTTTTTGACGGTCTACTCGCAGACGGAAGATAAAAGGCAAGTTTGAAGCCAAATAGAAGATTTCCGCAGAAGAAAAGAAAGGATCGACAGATATGGAAAGTTCCCGAAATATTCAATTTCGAGCAAAATGGAAAGATTAAAACCGCCTAAGGAGGAGTATATAAGGAGGAGGCATAGGGCAGAAGCTGGGACACGAAATTCAGAGCTCTCACCACCAAAACTAGCAGGAATCTTTCCGTTTTTCTGTTAGCGAGCTGCGTCTCAATTAGGGTTTTTTGTTCTTAAGTTTTCGGCTACTCTCTTTGTACCAGTTCAACGCAGATTCGGAATAAGAACCTCTTTGCTCTCGATTTTCGTTTATCTTTTAATAATACTAAGTTTTCTTGTTATCTTAATCTTCGTTGTGCGGTTCTGCAGATAGCCGGTTCCTCTGGAAACTTAGGGTTTTCCTGAAGTTTCCTTATTTACGATTATTTGACAGTAGGTGGATTTCGGTTCCCACAGTTTGGCGCTAGAAGGAGGGGGGGTCGGATCTATCTTACACCGTAGCCGCAACATGTCCAACGAAGAAACGATGACTGGTGACAACCAAACTCGCAACGAACGCGACAACGTTGAAACACCACCACCAAAAGACGCGTCTACGGCCAACGCTACGAACGCTAACGCCGAGACCGTCGAAAAGATGCTTTCCGAGTTTAACAAAAAATCGGAAGAGCAGGAAAAGCTCATTGGTTCGCTCGCAAAACGGCTCGAAACCCTAACTGCGAGAACCAGAGCGATTCGCCCCCGCGGAACTACCAAGATCCGCGGAAGGAGACTCGATTTCGGCGCTCCTACAGANCGGCCAACGCTACGAACGCTAACGCCGAGACCGTCGAAAAGATGCTTTCCGAGTTTAACAAAAAATCGGAAGAGCAGGAAAAGCTCATTGGTTCGCTCGCAAAACGGCTCGAAACCCTAACTGCGAGAACCAGAGCGATTCGCCCCCGCGGAACTACCAAGATCCGCGGAAGGAGACTCGATTTCGGCGCTCCTACAGATCGTCCCAGAATCGATCAGGGAAACGTACCGGAAAAAGATACCGGAAAAGAAAACCCTGACACGACGCTGAACGAATCGGAAAAATCTCCTATTCGCGAACAGGAGACCGAAGGCGGCGGCATCGAAAGGTTCAACCTGGAAACGAGCGACCAGGCCGACTCGACAGACGAAGACGCCGACGTCCATCCTAGGAGAAGAAAAACTCGCAGTCCTCAACCGGAGTCTTCTCCCGAACGTTCCTTTACTGGAGACGAAGGGGAACTCGACTTCGCGCGGTACGCAAAAGCCGCCGAGGAGCGATCTCCGGTCACTCGTAGCAAACGCCGACAAGGTCGGAAAACTGCTGGCGACCTGACCGAGATTCGCGATCTCCGCGAATACATCACCAAAACGGCCGCAGCGGTAAAAGCGGTGAAATCTCAGATTCATCACGCTACCAGCGCCGCACCCGAGATCGATCGGCTACTGTACGAGTCTCAGAAAACGCCCTTCACGGCCCGCATCACCGAGATCAAACTTCCCGATCCCGGAAAGCTTAAGGTGCCAACTTACGACAGAACGTCCGATCCCAAAGCGCACCTGCAAGCGTTCCAGATCACCATGGGACGAGCCAAGCTCAAGGACCACGAAAAAGACGCAGGCTATTGCCGCCTCTTCGTCGAAAACCTAGGAGCTGCGCTCGAATGGTTCGCCAAACTTAGGCGAAATTCGATCGGAAGTTCCGTCTACTGGCTTCGGAATTCCTGAAGCAGTATTCGATGTTCTTCAACCCGGAAACCTCCGACGCCGATCCCTGGAGCTTGGTGCACAAGGAGGACGAATCTCTTCGCGATTTCATGAGTAGATTCAAACTCGTCATGGCTAGGGTTAGCGGGATTAGCGACAAAGCCGCCATCGACGCGTTAAGGAAATCGCTCTGGTATAAATCGAAGTTCCGCAAATGGATAACTCTCGAGAAACCGCGGACGATCCAGGATGCGCTCCATAAGGCTACTGACTTCATAACCATCGAAGAGGAAACTAAAATCCTGTCCGAGAAGCATAAGCCGACGAAAATATCCGTGAAGGATAACGCGTCCGAGCAGAAGCAGAAAAAGAGAAGCTCTCGTAACGATAAATTCGTCCATCACGAGGGACAGGATCTCTGAGGGGCGCATAACTACGCCATCA